TAAAAAATAAATGTTAAAAATAAAAATAAAAATCGAGGCAATAATTATTTTAAAGAAAAATATAACCAAAATTGTCAGAAAAATTAATTTTTCATGTGGGTTGTTGTATATGTAGAAAGGCACGTGTACAGTTAATGAGGCACAATTAATTTTATAGTACAATTTGAAATGCTTTGTGTACAACATGGTAGTGCCGTGTTTGTGCTTTAAAGTATCAACTCTAATAAGGAGCCAAATGAGTAATAATAATAATTCTAATAAGGAGTAATGAGTAATAATAATAATTGCAATGTTAATCCTTCTAGATAATGAGTAATAATAATAATTGCAATGTTAGTCCTTGGTGTTAGTCCTTCTATTAATGTACAATTCTTTTTGCACGTTGTACAACTAATTAATGCAGTCAAAAGTTAATGTACAAAATTGTATGCATGTTGTACAAGAGTATTAATGCAGTGTTGGTCCTTTCCAACTCTCACTTCTAATTCTAAAATAAGGATAAAATAAGTTCTCTCATTGATTCATTGCCCAAAATCCTAATAGGATTCTTCCTTCAATTAATTAACATAATCTTACAATATATTTGTTTGGAAATTGCATCCAAATGGTGTTTCAATTTTGACTATAGTTTTTATAACACTATAATATGGAATACTAATGGAAATGGTACAAATCAAGCAAGCTCAAATTGACGTAACATGAAATTAGACACTAATATTGGGTGCTAGTGGACATGGACTTTGGAGAATCAATATGATTTATTGATATTTTAGTGATATTTTCACAAATATATCGAGTGATGTGTCGAAAATCTGAATGTTATTTACTCTAATCTTAATAATAATTGTATTTAGTATAAGGAAAAAAATTAGTCATCAAAAAAGAAGAGAATTAAATTGGAGGGAATATGACAACAACGAGAATACTATTAATTGAAATAGGAATATGCATGAATATATTGTTTTGACTTGTCTGTATCCATTGTTTTGTAATTGGTGCACTTATTTTTTTTGTGAATGCCCTACCAAGTACCAACTAAAGTTCTTTCCAAATCAGAATAGGCCCACAAGACCATATTGTGTTTTCTGCAATGATATTACCTATGATACTCTTTCTTGAGGAGTATCAGAAATGACCTATTTACCTCACAAAATAGGGGTAAGATCTACTTATACTGCATTTTCTCCAAATCTCACTTGTGGGATCACATTAAGTATATTGTTATTGTTCTATTATTTATGATTAGGTAATTTATTCGCGCGAAATAATTTTTCTAAGCTTTTAAACAGTATTTCTAATTCTAATAATCGACTGTTACAAGGAAAAAAAAAATTTAGTAGGTTTTAAAAACATTTCAATAAAAATTAAATGATTTGACATTATCACATTTCTCAAGAATTTTAAATATATAATGAATGATTAAAAATATCATAATATATGTTTGATGATATAATTGTCTTGTTAAAACTAAGTGATGTTTTTATGTAGTGATTAAACATTTTTTTTTCTATTTTTTTGTACATGAAAAATATAGAACTGATAATTTTATGGTTAGAAAAACTTCTTGTTAAAACAAATTATATAAAAGTTTTTGATAATCAATATTAGTTATAAATAAGTTAAGACCGTTTAAAATGTACACCACAACAACATAAATAAATTTTTTTAGAGACAATCTACTTGTTTGAGGTCAAACGTTCACCACATTTCGTTATTGTTACTTTGTTACTCTAACAAAATTTATAGAAGGAGAAAAATAAATTTGAAACAACAGCAAAATAATATTGTTGACCCTTTTAGAAATTCATTCTTCATTAAATTGCTGCTCTGAAGGCCCTTCTAGATGCTTCATCAATGCAATTTTATGACCTTTTCAGAAATATATATGTATAGTTATTGCATTATGAAAGTACAAGTAGATCAAAATGTTAGATTCTAGACTCATGTTAAAGAAATATTCTCGAACATTATAAAATTAAAAATGAGTCTAACCTAGATAACTCAAATGCTCAGCAATTACTTGGGACATAAAGGACAACAAACCAATGTTAATAGACATATCATTGGTAGCTTAAGATATTACTTTTATTTATAGCAGGTTTTGTTTCATATTCTTCAAATTAAGCTTGCTGAAAATAGTCATAACTCACACCAAAAATATTTAGTAGAGCTTAATGAGAACTTTGTCCAAGTAAGATTATATACATACCAAACGAAAAATAATCAATACAATTTTAAGGAGACAACAAAACAACGAGAAAAAGCATACATTAAAGGGGGTAAACTATAAGATATCCAATGATGATAACAAATCATTCTAACCATAAAAGTTCTCATGTTTTAAAATAACATACGTCAAAACATTGACTAACATTTCAATCAACATTCAATCCTTAAAGTACTCATAATATCCACAGAGGCGTATCCAGGATTTCGGGATGATGGGTGCATTATTACAAAAAGGTTGATCTAAAATATAAATTTGATCGGTTGGACATTTAGGTTCTTATTACTGAAAACCGTTAAAATTAATATTATAGGTCCACAACTAATTAAAATGTCAAAAGTGTTACCAATAACCATTTAGAGAGGTGTTATCTAATTTTACAAAGAAAAATAAAACAAGATGAATATAAAATTCAAATTTCTAACGTCACGTAGAGAGGTGCACTCAGTCATCATCACATTATATGATACTCCGAATATGGGTTCACACATCTATATTTCAATATTTTTCAAAAATATAACACTACTATATATGATCTCGGGAGGGGAGCATGGGTTCACGTGAACCCGGTGACCCCTCCTTGGATACGCCTCTGAATATCCAGTGATAAAATTTAGTAAAAATAGATAACAACAACATAAAAAAAATATATGGGCATGCAAAGTTATTAACTCTCATAGGATTTTCTAAAGAACACAAAATCTCATCCTTGTATGTGAAGAAATGACGTTGTTAATGAACAAATTAGAGATTTGTAAGAGTTTTTTTATTGTACCTTCAACAGTTTCAGTAGAGAAAACTTGTTTGAATACTCAATTAACGTTTTTTATTTAATATGTACTAACAAATACTTAAAACAATAATATTGCAGAAACATAAACAACAAAATTTAAAGCATGTACTCAAAAATAACAATTAATAATATAAGCATAAATTAATGATTGTAAAAACATACCAGGATTTGTAACAATACAATGAAACATAATGGAAAAAATCGAGCCCAGTGAATGCACATTGTCCCCTTAAGGAACTTATTCCCCCTAGTACCTGAGATTTAAAGGAATAGATCCTCTCAGGAAAGAACGATTCTATTCACCAGTATATTGATACAAAAAAATAGTGTCAGTGAGTCATTTAACAAGAGCAAAGTACACAATTATTTAACTGTCCAGAAGAAGAAAAAGAAGATCAAAATTTTCATTGTTTTAAAATGAGAGGAAATCTATTTATAGAAAACAAAAGATAATGTGAACAAATGTTTTTTTGTGTCTTATCGAAAAGGTCACAACCTTTTATAAAAGTTGTAACTTTTCATAAGAGTCACAATTCTTCATAAAAGTCGCAACTTTTCAGGAAAGCGAAAGCTAATTTTGGAAATAAAACAAATTAAGAGGGAATCTTGGTTTGTGGTGGCGCCATGTAGGCGGGTCTAGGATTCTCTTTTATATATGATATATGATACTCATATGGTGGGGTAAGAATGAGTCGCCTTTGGTCAGAGAGCTTTACCTCCCAAATGGACCTTTTCAGCACAAATACGAAATAATCAAACCCCAAAACAAATATCAGACATCTGGTACAATTAAAGGAAATAAGGAGGGATAGGAATACGAATTACACAAACCTTGTAGCATAGTCTTATTGAAACCTTAGTTGCACGGACTCTTCACTTTTGATGCCGCACCCGTCTCGAATTCTTCAAAAATACACTACTTTTGGCGAATCCAACACACACTCGTTGACATTTTTGAAAAGTCCAAGCAACAGGTTGAAACTGCACACAGTTTATCAACCACTCACAAAACCACCGAGATCTTTGACTTAGCTTCCAGGTAATCCACCGGCCCTTTACCAACCTAGACAGGGAGAGCAGAAGATAACTTTTTTTCCCTTGAAAAATAACAAGTATAATACTTCAAGTAAAACAATCGACCATCACAGCACTCTATGAATTTCCTTTAAAATAAACAGCTCCTAAAAGTTCTATGGAGAATACAATTAAGTAATCAAAGCATACATGAGATGGTCATACACTTCACCATGATATCTGAGCAGACAAATGTCCTGAGATTGAATCTCATAGTCACCCATATTAAAAAGAATTTTCACATGTTTGATTCATGAAATAAAACAATAAGGTCCACACGTGAGGAGGCGTGTTGAGAAAACATATAAATAATAAAAGTGTATTCTCTCTAACAACTTAAGCTTTAGATGAGATGGTCGCACACTTCAATAAATTCAAACTAAATTACTTTACTTTGTAGGAACTTGTCCTTAAAAATGAATGTTAACCATATATAGATGAATATTTGTAACGTTTAACAATCGTTGTAGAGCCAATAGTCGATTTACTGAAATGTGCACAAATAGAATCATGTATATATCCGAAGAAATCAAAAACATGTTTGTGTAATATGTGAACGGATGAGATCGTCCAATAGCACAATCCCATGGAATTAAATTCCATAAGCAGTACACAAGTAGTAAAGACGAATGTTGATCAGATGAGTATTCAATATCTTTTATAACAAAAGAAACAATGGAATATACAATAGCAACCCTGTTAAGAATCCAGACAGAAATATATCCATGTTGCTAATTTTCATGGTGAAAGAAAGTGCAGACATGCAAAAACTCCAAGAGTGAAGTTTCCACTTGCTGAAAAGATTAACATTTGGTCACACACAGAGTGTAGAACTCTGGAGGAAAACTCAAACATGCAATGGTTTTATACCTTGATTTTTAAGCAGTACAATTAAGGAGTATATACTAATATTGCAACTGCAGACTTTTTACATAAATTATCAAGCAGTGTAAATTGCACTGACATCAGAAATAGAATGGGCATACAATCTTAGCCCCGGCATAGAGAATAATGAAGCCAAGTAACTTTACAGCTTTTTCGTGATGGAAAAGTGAAGTCATAGAACGACAGCAAGTACACTCTTGAAAAATGAAAAAGCTACGACCAACTAATCCACGCAATTCAATGTTAGACATTGTGTTATCTCCTTGGCTTACCAATTTTTTGCTTCTTTCTAAAGTTTTGCATGGCCAACTCTCATACTGCTGAAATGTCTATTCGAACTATCCTTGCTGGTTTCACAACTTTGTACTTTGAATAAGAACATGATCCAGAACTCTCAGCTACAAAAGCACCAAGCATCTAAGTTAGAAAACCATACTACAGGAATACTTCAAGGAAGACACCCTTGATAGTTACTTCCCTTAGGTTCTAAGTATTTGCTTAAAGTAAGAAAGAAGTCAACTAATAGTAGGAGACAACCAGCGGTCGGGTAAGTTCTGCAACCATTTTCTTTCTTTCTTTTCTTTAACAGACATTTATTCATGAGCATCCAGTCAATGTTCATGAGCATCCAGTCAATGCAAAAACAACCTTACTAGAGTAGAACCTTATGACAGCAAAGCTTATAAACAGCACGAAGAAGCGTACAGGCTAATGAGCATTTGACGATGTGACAGTCTCAACAAAGAAGATGAAGAAAAATCACTTTTTCTGCTGAGTGTTATTGTTCAAACTAACAAGGAATTAAACTTTGATATTAACAGTTCAGATGAGGAGACCTACCCGTTCCATTGGCGCTGCTGTACGGGATGCTTTCACTCAAAATGGAACATGGTAATACTGCTGGGCACTCAATAAGTTGTTTGGTACTTTGATCTCTCAAGCAACCACTTAACAGGAAGTTGATAGAAAGATGAGAAGTTTCTATTACTTCTTGACTTGAGAAAGTATTCATGACTGATCTCTCATCAACAATACTTCTTACTTCTTGCATTGAGAATTTCTTAAACATATCAGGCGCCAAGAGCTTAGACACAACAATGGTGCACTCCTGCACATGAGATTGATCATTAAATTCCGAAAATATTGTACCTTGTTTATGAAGAACTTGATCTGAAGCCACTCTAGACAGCAGCATTTTCTCATCTACATTCAACTACAACAGTACTTATTTGTGACGTTTCTGATAACATAAATGCTTGAGTTGCACTTAGAGTCATGGAAAGATTGTCAAAGATCACCTTCCACAACAGTTCTTCTATGCCATTTCCACGGGCCAGTACTGAAATGATCAACTCCAGCTTAATTTCGACACAGAGAGCCACAGAATCTGTCACCATATCGCTCAAATATGGCTTTCCGACAAGAGCCTCATATAGACCTAAAACACTTCCTCGATGATATGTTGAATCCACATGACAATGAATAGGAAAAGGGCTCCTTCTCGACTGGAGAAGAAAGAAGGAAAGTTTTTTCAATGACCAAACATAAATACAATTAATGCTAGCTATCTGGAAATATAGATTCTTGGATAGATGCTTTATGCATCCTTTACTTACCCTAACTGATCCATTTCCTATCAGCCAAACACTTGTCAGCTTGGAACCCTTGGTGTAGAGTGTACAACCTGGTGTCTTCAATATACTGTTCACGGAGCATTCCAAATCACTTTGAATAGCAGGAGAAAGGTTTGCCAACAAAGGATGTATACTTAGGACATCTCTTGGCTTTGGGATCCTTACTGAAGGAGGACTTCTCAAGAGCTTTTCAAGGTCATTCTAGTTTGGAGTTGAAAAACATTTATACACAATAAAAATAATTCAATAAGCATAACACAAAAACAATGCTATGGCGCTGGAAATTGACGCATGAAATACAGTTACCTGAAGCAAATCATGTACATGCAGCACAACTTTCTCAGTTAAAATCCCATCTTTCTCCATATTACTGAGACATTTATCCAGACACTTCAGCATTGAAAATGTAACTTGCCTTGATTCGGTTTGATGTATGATCTAGAATGGACAGAATTAAAAGGGTTAATTTAGATGAACGTGTCTGATTAGCTTGCATGGTTTTAATTTTTTTTATAAGAAAATTGCTCATAGGATGATTTTGCACATCGTCTTTAGATACTTTTTTTGACCCCTCCCCAGGAGTTCCGCACTCCACTCCCTCGGTGACACAAAAGTCAAACCCACAACCTCAAGATTGGAGGTGGAGGGTGCTTAACATTTGAGCGACCCACTCTGGTCAGAAGGAAGGAAGCTCAGATGCGCAACTCAACATCCTCTAATTCGAACAACTGCAGAGCATGCATAGTGTTATATTCCACCAGCAAGTAGACGTGAATTTAAGAAAACCATGTTGCGAACTCTTGACAATCAATTGGTCAATGAGCTATCTAAACAAGAGCTACAATGCATGATTACCACAAAAACATTCACAAACCTCAGGCATTGAATTCTTGACATTTTCTAGAAACTTCCTTGCTTCTAGTTCTTCGACTTCACTTTCAGCAACAACTATTGCAGCATTTCCATTATCACCTTTAAAATGTAGAGAGATTGTTAGATGACTTCAGGAGCCAACTCCACAACTCCCAGATCCACGAAGACGTAGATTCACATTAGAGTTGTGCAACAAAGGAAGGCAAAGACTCAAGAGGAAAAAAGGACCTCTTACGAACAGGAGGCACAACTCTCAAAGTGTAGGAGTTTGGCATTTGATGTTAAGAAAGAAAAAGCACACATACAAAATCATTGCTGTTAGAATCTGATTACATATAAGAACTACTCCGCAATGTCTACCTACTGTATCAGCCACATTCATTTTATCTGAAGATGGTACTCACTCTTACCAGTATAGTCAAGAAGAAGCTGTCTTGCGATTCTGTGAGCATGGATAAATGCAGAGCATATATGACAACTATCCTGTAATTTCTTTAGCACAAACCGCCTTGTCAGTCTGGGAGGACAAACACTTGTGCTGAAGAATTTATAATATCCTGGAAACTTGAGGCGAGTAGAAATATAATTCCAGTCATGTAATCCCTGAGTCGCCAGATCGATTGCCTCATCTATTGACTCCATCAAAACACTAATACTGGATTCAGTTATCCTCCCCTCGTTGAATGTTGACCAGTAAGCCTCACGAGTAGCTGTAGCAAAACCAAATGCAAATAACTGAAGCCTCATGTAAAGGCATTAAGAATGGAAGACAAAAGGAGAAAAGAAGTGTCACCTTGAATAAAGTCCACAGGGTGAATATTTAAATGAAGAACAAAAAGAAATCAAGTGTACCGCCTTACTTATCTATTAGGATTTTCGAGGTGGCAAAACTTCAAGATCGCATGTATGTGTTTAAGATTTATGGACAAGATGGAATTGCATGCTTACTCCTATTAGCAGAGGAAAATAGAGGCTCTAGTTTTTAATGAAATATTGAAACGTTACCAAGAAGGGATGCAGAGATACAGTAAAGAAGATAAATGTTCTAGAAGCAAATTTCTGCATGATGTAAGCTCACAGTATCCCCTACCAATCGGGTCCTGATGTAAAAAATGGTCAAAATAGTCAAGGTTCAGCTTATTAGAGAACTTCACACTGCTTTCTAACTCTTCATTCCTTATATTCCTTGGATTTTGGAGGAGAAGAACATGCAGGTCTTTCATAGGAACAGACTGAAAATATTTTAACTTACAAAATAAGGGCCCTAGTTCATGATCAATGTACAACATCAATAACCTATCAATCAAATAGATCAGAGAAGCAATATCTGATATGCAACACTTACAAAAGAAAGCAAGGGGGAAGCTGAAAGCCCAGATGAGAAATGCAGGTACCAGACACCAGAAAGGTTGTAAGAGCAAACTATAGAGCAACTAGTCTGGATGCAGTTGCTGACCTTTCAGAAAGCATACTCTCATAGTCTTCATATCATTTATTTCTAGATAGCCATGATTGGTGGTACAGGGAGGCCAAACTGTGTCTTCACAGACATCTTTTATGCATGTGGCATAACCTCCAACAGTTATCCAATCAAAAGGATTATTGCTTCCACTACAGATTCGGGAAAACTCTTCAGCTTTTCTCAATAGTTGATGCTTTGCATAATTGACCATGATTTTCTGAAACAAATTGTACTATAAGCAGGATGGCTCTCGCAACAAAAGACCACATCTCAAATATGGATATACAAGCAGTGGTTGAGTACACCAGGTATGTTTCTTAGTAATTTGCCACATATTTGAATTTAACAAAGACCAGAATGAACTAGCTAATTCTCTGCAGATATAATTTTGACTGTTAATTCTCTACAGATATTTCTTTTCATATTTACATGAAAATATATTATCAGGAAATAGGACTAATATGAGTTCAAACTGATGATCCTTGTGCATTGAGAGGCTTACAAAGGCCATGAACAAAGTGAGGATCAGAGGATGTGATGGTTTGAAGACATGCAGGTAGCATAGTACTCACTTTTTAAGTAAATGCAATCTTATAAAATAGAGAAAGACAACAATAAGGTGATGCTTTGGATTAGTACAAGCGGAGCGTAGGTTAGTTCACATCCAACTTCCTGCAGTGATGTTACCAAGTCTATCAAGTTATACATTCCAAAAAAAATTGGAGAATTCTGCACATAATTACTAAATACAGGAACTTATATTTCAAGTTATGTAAAAAATGTTCCTTTTCCCCGAACATCATTGATTCCTCTCAATCCATAACACCAAAAGCTGATTGCTAAGATTTAATATACACAAAAGCACAGGTAGGGCCTTCAAGTTTTCAATGAAAAGGGTAATTGCTGATATTGAACACTCAACGTGAAACTAAATAAAATGACATCATGAATCACAATATCAAGGGCAGGTAAGTTCCTCAATACAAGAGAACTTCAATTACACCAGAACTTTACCTCACTTTCTGATAGAGCATCCATACCAAAGAGACTTAGAAGTAATTGTGTGGTAGATCCATTGATAATGAGTGTCAGTAACACACTTCCACCAGTGAGGAAAACAAACTGTACCATAAAGAAAAGAGTTTCAGTTGCATGTCAAAGAAAGTTGATAGCTTAAGCTTCAATAGATGCTTAAAAACTACAAGTAAATTATGGCAATGAATCAATGAGTTCCAAAAGCAGGGCAAATGAACTGTTGCTATATTGCAATAGTTCGTCAATAAAAACATACCATAGCTCCAGTTTCTGAGCTGAGATACTTTGGATCACCACTAGCATCCTGGAAATTAAGAAAGAAAACCATGTGTAAATGTTATTAAGTAAAAGAAAATATATCATCCCTCTATATGCTTCATAAAGCTTGACAAATAAGTGAGAAAATGATCAGCTTCTTATGCTCTCAAACAATTAGGTTACTCGGTGATAAGTTCTATTGCTCTAACTCTAATTGATGTACAATATCAAATCAAAGGTATCTTCTCCATAAATACTGAGTTTAACCGCTTAGTCTGTCGCTTCAAATTAAATTGAAGCAGCAAGCCTCCATTTTATTTTATTTTTACTGTTATTTTTATTTATTTATACTTTAGTTTTATTTTTATTTTTTTTGGGGGGAGGGGGGTATACCTACCAATAAAAGCAATCCGAAAAGTGCATCAGTACTTAATGGAGCAGAATACTGTACTGGTATCTACACATTATACACCCTATTATCTTAGGAGTATATTTCATACCAGTACAAATCATACTAGACAAGAAAGTAATGAAAGTAAAAATTATTCTCAACACAAAATGATAATATATCTTCGGTGCACATTTGAATCTAAGCCTCAAGTTAAATGATACAGGAAACCATATGGAATCAGAAGTGAGCAGAGAAGGGCTTACTTTAATAGATAGGGAGAGTGCCAAACCAACAGCTCCTCTCAAACCAGACCATATGATGATGATAGCTTCTTTCCAATTCAAACCATAACCGAAGTAGCAAAGGGCAGGATAGAACGCAAAAAACAACTATGGTTCGAGCTACTTGAAGAATGATATAGAGAAGAAAGACATAGCCCCACGATCTCCCTGCATTATTACTGTGTAAATAAAAGAAATTTTCTTGATCTGGAAAATTTATTGTAGTGGAAAGAATCTAAGAAAAATGTTCAGAAAATCTCAATAAGAATGCATCTAAGGAGGGATCTCACAAACTAGACAGGTGCTCAACAACACCTAACCTGAGGTCTGATGCATATGAGCATCAATGGTAATTCTTTGGGTCTTTACCTGTTTCCCCCTTTCTTTGGTCTGTTAAATAATAAATAGTAAATAAATTAGAAACCTAAGTGTATATACCCACTATTTTGTTCTTCATGTAAATAACACTACAACTAATATTATTGATATGCACAACCTAATAAAGATAGTTTTCCACCAAATCTATGGCTTCATATGGTATCATAGCCTAGTCTTTGTTGTTAGCTAAGATTTCGCCGGTGTTCATTGTTGGTTAATTGCAGGCTTTGCATTGGTTGCTGCCTTCATGTATTCTCTGGTTTCTTTCCATCTAAAGCTTTAGATTTATAAGGTTGAAACTGTGCTTAGTCTTTGGCCTTTGGTCGGCACTTATCTTTCCCAAGGTCAGCTTTCTCTCAGACCATACTCTTGGTGCTGGTCAGTGGTTCTGGCAATTTGTTAGTTGGTTATTTCAATATAAAATGTGAAATGTGATCAATATATGCATCTCCTGAAATGTCCAGTGACAAATACCTCAACTTGCTGTCTCCCTAGGATCTCATCACTCTGGTTTTCTCAGGAAATCCTCCTGATTGAGTTCTAGATTTTTTACTCAGATGCATCTGGTCACATGTCCGACAACCAAAGGCTATGTCCCACTTTCATACTCCTTGTTTCTAACCTTCAATGATCTTGATTAATCAACTTATTACTCCTGTAACTGATAGGAATTACTCAACCTACTACTTCAACATCCTTGTCCGACGTTCTTTTTTTTCTAAATTCCCTTATTATTTAATAGCCATTAAAAATTAACCAAAGTACTTAATTGTTTTCCTTCTAATAATGTGATTATTCAACATTCAGAAACAGGAGAACGATCGGCTCAGGACATGAGTCTCACGACTTTTACCGTCCAAGTTCCAGCACTTCCTAAAGTACCAACTACTTGTGATTCTCAAGAAAATGATTTAAGAAATGACTGAGACTCTTCTAGTTACTCAATTGGGTGCCAAAATCAGGACGCTTGCCAACTTATTGTGATGTGCAGCACGTACCACACACTTCAACTAATAGGAAAACAGTTGTTAACAATCTACAAAAAGTGAAGTATTACATAATAAATACAGGGGGAAGAACTACCTGTATTGTTGTCGAGATATCCGATACTGAAGATGCTTTGAGCTATGATAACTCCACTGTGAGAAGTGAGCATATGAGAAACATTATTGATTCAATAACCAAAAAAAAAAGGATAATAACCAACCATGCACCAAGAGACCTTCAGGTACGCTTAGAACAGGAAGTGTTAACAACACTACTTACTAGATATTAATACAGGGAAAATGGGGAAATACAACTCCCTGAGAAAAGAGTAGCACAATAACAAATGCAATAAGATCTATTGCTTTAATTGGAGATAGCATACAACAACAGGAAATCTCCTTAAGTACCATAGAAAGGAACAAAATGAGTTTAAGACGAAAGAAAAGAAACAACATTAGTTTCTATAATGGACTGTTACTGAGTCTTACCTCAATATGAATATCAAAGTATTCGCAATGTAGGCAATCATTTCCCTGCAAAAGAATTAGTGGGAAAAGTAAAGTAAAAAAAATAGTTCAACTCTAGCGCCCCCCCCACCTTTCTTCTATCTCAGAGCAAGGCAGTAAACAGAGAAGGAGCCAAAACAAAATAATTATTTGGTTATGGTTTTGAATAATAAGTAAGCTATTAAGATCCACATGATTTAAACATGATGTTTTAGGCAGTCCTATCAAAAAATACACATAACCCACAGGATGAGAGGAACAATGTGCAAAAGATCCTAAAAGAACAGAGTGAGAGAACCAATGCTGGAAGGAGTCACAAAAGACAACTTCTGAAACCTGTAACACTTCATTTAGGAAAGTCAAAGAGTTCACAAAGAGAGTAGTTGCAGGAAAGGTAGGGGTAGGGTTGTTGTAGCAGTAGCAGTAGCAGCATATTCCCCTAGATAAATCTGTTCATAGTATATGTACTCCAACCTTATGATTTTACAACATATTCCCCTAGATACATCTGTTAGATATGCCTCACCTAGAAGACATTATCTATAATAATACCTCATCAAACAGAGCAACAATTAGGTACTGGCAATGCTCAAATCTGTGTAATAGTTATCACACTATACATTGGTTTGCTACACAGATCTATATCTAGCTAACGGATATCACAATGAAAGAAACATACCAAAACTCATGCATGCTCTGCTTCCCCCCAGCTCTATGGGTATCCTTTGACATTGCAAAAACCCTATTAATAGGTTTCAGTATCAGAGACCGAATTACACACTTTACCGCACAAACGTCTGAATGTGCAAGAGGAGTGAAGTACACAACTTACATCCCTAGTGCCACGAGAGTCAAGATACCAGAAGCTTCAGCTTCCTCTTGAGCCTATAAGCAATAATAAGGCATTAAAATCCGGTTAAAGGTGTACATATGGCACTGGAAGAAACACATAGGACTTCAATGGAACTATCAAAAAGCTAAGGAAAAAGCAAAAACAATATCTCCTCGAATTAGCAAATAAACATATTTTGGAACGTGTCACCCTTTAAAGTAGAGAGCAGTAGGGAAGATCTTTTTAATACTGAAAGATTTGATGATCCATGTACTTGGTTGATTTACAAAATTATGTAGAATGAAGCGGGTCAAAGATCTTAGATTACTAAAAAAGTCATCAAAGAGGTATTAGACTTGAGTACTTTTTTTGATTAACCCTTAAATAAATCATGCTTGTCAATATGTTATCAACAAAAATATGAAAATTATCGTGCATATCAAAATGTTGTCAAAAAAATTGATAATTTTACAACGTCACACTTCTTGAAACTGTACGTCAAGAAGTGTAGCACATTATGAAAGTGGTGTCTATTAATTCAATGAAGGATGTAGTGATTACTGACTTCATAATATGTCAAATCCAGAAAGATTTCTAGTTGAACACATTTCAAGTTATAGTCTTCTGTCCCTCTCTGTTTCTGAACCATCATGCCCGCGATTCTTTTTTCTAGTTTTTTAGGAAGGGGGAAAGGGAGGAGGTGTATGATACATTGAGCACATCTAACAACAATTTAAGAGCAAATGACTAGCTTAGTGTGAATGTAAAGGCAAAGAGCAGATTCTAACTTCGTTCCTAAGATATTGGACATAATTGTATGTATGCAAGCATGCATGCATATATATATATATATATTGATCCATGTTATTAGGAATGTCTGTTATGTCTGTTATATGCATCTAATCTTTGAATTGTATACATGTAATGAAATAATCATGTCTGTGTATGTATGGGTGTGGGTGTGATACATGTAATGATATAATGTCTGTGTATGTATGGGTGTGGGTGTGGGTGTGTGGGTGTGAGAGAGAGAGAATGCATTTAAAACATCTATGTGTTGGCTTAAATCAAGAATATTCAACCAAATTGTATCCAGTATCTGAAAGGATTATATATTACCTAACCTTCTATATTCCGAAGAGAAAGATCATCAGATGTGTTAAGCTTACAAAGATGGAATAAATTTCCAAAGGTCAAAAAATCTGATGAAATCCAGACACGATACTAAGCAATTGCCTGACTTGCGTTCCCCTAATGTGAAGCACTTATCATGCTGTATGTGATCTTGCTCACAAACACAGTGACTTTTTAGAAACTTTTCCTATTTGGGTGATAAAGAAACCAGCTGGCCTGGGATCTTCCTCGCAACCTACATTTTGGAGAGTGGGTACATTGTCGAACCCTCCCTCCACAGATATAGAAGGGGAACCTTAGTGGTTTCCCCATCCTCGAATATCACTATTTCCTACAAATTATAATATCTTAAATTTTCTGGAGGGGATGAATAATAGAATGTCACATCAAAGGGTAGATATCAATAATCAATATGATAATCATATGAATCCAAAATGAAACAATTAGAAACAAATTAATTGCAAAATATCACGTCCAGTATTTAGAAAGACAATATGCAGCTTGAGTGCATGTAAATAACAACTGATTCAAATCAGCAAGGTACATACTGTGTAGTAAGCAATGTAGCTCACAGTAAGAGCCAACGAAAAGTCTGTCAGTGTGTCATTGTATATAAACCGAAGCCAGAGAAGAGATGCTATGCCAAACACAAGTCCGATCATGACACTGTAGCAGTAAAAGAGTAAGTTAAGTTCAACAACAATAGCACAAAGTTATTACCCAACCAGATAATGATACCTACGATCCAAGTGAGCCTTCTGCAAGATATTCCACCACTGCAATGCAGCCAGAACTTTTCCCAAGAACCATTCGATAGAAAAGCTGGTAAACCACAATAGCTGCCCTGGAAACATGATTGGAGGAAGAGAGGTAGACAAAAATAATCAGTGTATATATAAATGGAACATAAACAGAAAAACAGAACATGGGGCTGAAGGTCCACTTCTATGTGGAAAATTTTGGTCATCCAAAAATGTGCACATGAATATGAAATATAGGGGAACCATGAGAAATTACACGGAGAAACAATTGTTTATACCCGTCGTTCATCATAGATTCTCCTTCAACGATAGTGCTCAACTTTTTACTAGCACCGAGATCCTTAAGCAAAGCGACAACAGCCACAGGATCAGTAGCACTAAGAATTGCCCCCAACAATAATGATGTCTTCCAGTTCCAGTCAAATGGAAAAACAAGCTGTAGAAACATATGAATGTTTGAGCAAGTGCGAAACCACTTCCAGAAAAAAACAGTTTCTTTGTATACCTTCACAGCAGCTCCAATCAGGACTGTTGAAATCAATACACCAGGTCCAGCAAGCAAAAGCATTTGTGCCATACATTTCTGTCAAAGCCAGCTAATATTAAAGATATGAACAACATATTCCATTAGCTTATACAAAGTAAAAAAAGTAGACATAATAACTTAAAGCATATAGTCAAGCAACCAGCAACTAGAGCCTTGAGATTATATAGAATGAAAATTAAGGAGAAGAGAACCTTTATTTGGTGCACCTCCATGGAGAATGCACCCTCAAAAATCAGTATAGGGAGGAATACAGCTAATAGAAGATCAGCATCTATATCTGCCCCTGTTGCAGCAATTCGACAAGCATATACCTTTATAAGATAATGAGAGGTATTCACAATTGCAAAATGATTTTACGTCATCCTCGAATTTTTGATGAAGCATCCTCGAATTTTTAAAATTTAAGAAATTTGAAAGAGACATTTGAATTATACTTACATATTCGAATTCCATTCCCAAGCTTTCCCAGTCGATAAATACTCCCAAATTCTAAATTTAAAAAGGAAAGTAAGTAAAGAAATAAATAACCAAATACGAGAACAGTTAGGCACCACAACATGACTGTACACATTCAAACAACAGTGACACTTAAGAATAGACAATAGATTGAAAAAATGCTAGCTCATGTCCATAAGAAAATGTTCCATGCTCTTAGAGCAGTAATAACCATCAAGAAAGAATCACAGAAAGCATGCTCAGAAGACAAAGAAATCTGTCTATTTATTCCCCAATTTTTCTGTACAAAACAAGATCACAACATATATGAAGGGTTCATTCACATAGAAAACACGGAAAATCTCTATCAGCCATACTGGAATTGAGATACAGGCCTTCTACTTCCTTTTTTCATGACGGTGTTGTCCGAGCCAGCTTGTGCACATCTCTACTAGTCCACAAGCACAAGTACTGGATAATTCTGCCCACCAAAGCTTAGACATATGGAAAGTTCTATTACCTTCCTAGAGTTCATTCTCACTAGAACTCTATTCAATTTTTTCATAAATGGTTATGCTTTTTTTACCAAATTCTAGATACAATTATGCTAACCTCAACTATTACACCAGGTACCTGCTACCTCTACCGCACAAGTATCAGGTAACTCTGCATACCAAAATTTAACTTTAAACAAATGGGACAAAGAGCCTGTTTGGATTGGCTTTTATTTTTTGGCTCATTTTTATCATTTTCTCTTAAAACCAGGTGCTTATAAGCTCTAAATCGCCATGTGTCAATGAGAAAATGTTACATGCTCTTGGAGCAATAATCATCATCAATATCCTTAATTGTTCTTACTTAACCCCATCCCCCATAAGCGAGCAGCATGATAACAGTAAACAAAGCGATCCTTCAGATAATGAAGCACACATACTTCCGTAAAAACAAATAGTAGACATGAACTCCATAGCAAAACCCCCATAAGCGAGCAGCATGATATATAACAGTTGACATACAATACGTACACACATAAAAGAGAAGGAAAATACGAACCGAGAGAGCCGAGAGCGATGCCAATTATGAGCAAAACGACGGTATAGGGAATAGTAGTACGGCGAAGGAGGGTTCTGCATGAAACTCCAATTAACAAACTCATTCCACCAAATAGTACTGCATCTAATGGATTCGAAGAAGAAGAACTGCTGCTGCTCTCTCCTTGCCATAAATTGTATGGCAATGGACCTTCCTCCACTGTCGCCATTATAGCTCAATTTGGGAATCGCTCAAACAAATGGTGTGTGGAGTACTTCCCACCCATTTATTTCTTCCATCTGCTATATATATACAAACTAGCAAGATTACCGGGCTTGGCACGAAAATTTAATATTACGAAATTTATAAAATAATACTTAAAATTTATTAGTCATTAAAACTAAAACACTATATTATCTTATATACAATATTGCGTAGTAACAAACATTAATAATGTAAAGAAAAATGAAAATTATTACATCTTATCATTTATCCTTAATAACATAAGCATAAATTAATGACTGTCAGGATCTGTAACATAAACAATGGTGTTAGTGAGTCATTCAACAGGAGCAAAATACACAAATATTTAATTGTGAAGAAGAAGAAGAGGCTCAAAATTTTAGTTGTTTTAAAATGAGAGGAAATTCCTCTATTTATAGACAACAAATGTTTATTGTGCCTTATCAAAAATGTTATAACTATTTGGAAAAGTTGCAACCCTTCGGAAAGATCACAACTTTTAATAAAAGTCGCAATTCTTTATTAAAGTCACAACTCTTCATTAAAATCACAATTTTTCATAAAAGTCACATTTTTTTATAAAAGTTGCAACTTTTTATAAAAGTCGCAACTCTTAATTAAAGTCGCAACTTTTCATAAAAGTTACAACTCTTCATGAAAGGGGAAGACTAGTTTTGGAAGAAATAAAAAAATTAAAAGAGAATTCTAGTTTGTGATGGCGCCACGTAGACGGACCTAAAGTTCTCTTTTATATATATATATGATATATGATATGGCGCCGAAAGTCCCACATTTGGGGTTAAAAGCCTTGCCATTTCGTAGCCAAGACAACCCGAACCGAAACCCACACTCAATTATAAAGTGGTAAATATGTTTTCATTATTTTTAATTTAAAGAGACGTGAGGGATTTCCCAGCAAATATTAGTATTAAACTTTAAATGATATATTTATTCTTATAGTATATTCAACCGTACATAAAATAAGATATATTTCATATTATATAATATCGTATTATTTGAAGATGATTACTTTTTACTAACGTGATTAACTTTAAGACTAATTTTAAAAAATGTTATTTTTCTTTCTCCGCTTTTGATATTGATTTGTTGTCTCATTCATTTTTAATCAGCGATTTTGAATTTAAATTTTAAGTTCGAAATTATTTTTAATAGTAAACGCTTTATTCTTATTTCTAAAAGTAAAACTTCTTGATGTAAATATTAATTTAAAATAATTAAATTTCAACATAAATATCAAACATCAAATAGAAAGAAAATTACATGTGATATTGTATAGTTCTTATGATTTAGGATTTTTTTTCTTTCAAAAAATAAGAATTTAGACAAATCTTACCTAATACTCCATAATGATGTAGATATATGAAATCCACTTCACAACAAATTGGATGCAAGTGAAAAAATGAGTTGCCATTCTATTCACTTTCATTTTATGTTTTCAATTTTGTCACCACCTATTTTTTTTAAAATAAAATAAAAATTGGTAGTATTTGAAAGGGCAACATCTCACTTTATTCTAAGCTAATGTGATTGTGAGATTTGTGACCAACGATAAGAACTTTCCTAGGCCAATCATTTAAAAAATTTATAGTGTGTTTTATGCCAGCATAATAATTATTCATAGTAAATATTTTTTTTGGAAAATATCTTTTTTCATGAAAATTATTTTCGGATATTTGATAAGCAAAACATATTTTTTCAATTATCAACCTAGATAAAAATTAATAATAAATTATATTAGCCAATTGTAAAGTATATTAACAAAAATCTTGAGTACTCAAGACAGATTATAATAATAACGCTCAAGTGCTTATTAGAACAAGTAATATAAAATTAATTTTTAAGATTATTACAAGAAAAGACTTTCACATTCATAACGGAAGTTGTTTTCTCTTTTTGATGGAAAAATATGCTCAATTTTTTCATGACTTTCTTTTTAAAAAAATAATATTTTCGTCGTATCAAACATATATCTATTAATCCATCTTTTCTATCCCCAAACAAATGTTGGTGTTCACTAAGTAGTTTCCCAAAATGTTCACTATCATCTCTTAGAAGTAGTGCATTTGCATCAATTTGCACATTTCTACCGCTTGCAATGGCTCATCAGCATATACATACACAAATTAAAGAATATTTTGACTAAATAGAAACACATAAAAGGGTTATATGATGCACAAGTCATTTCGCCTTAACAAAATTTAGAGAAGGGTCGCACTGTAAGAGGTATGATGTAGACAACCTATTATAATGCAAGCACTAGTGTTTTCATGCTATGAAAGTGACCTATAAATCACATGGAAACAACGTTATTGTTATTCCAAAGTTCCAAAGTTTTCCTTCGACTAAATAAAAATCATATTTAAAAGAAAATGGGACTGATAAAGAAATGCAAAGTTAGTTGCCAATAGTGGTCCATAATTTGATTTGTACATATATAATTGCTATAATCAAACAAAATTTGGTTTGAAGACTCAACCATTTTGCTCCTATCACAAAGAAGATATGTAGACATCATGAGTAGCAAAAATAAATACAACTTTGAACACTTTTAAGTCATTGAAAGAGTAATTTTCAAAGTTGGAGGGAAAAGGAAAGGTTAAAGATTCATATAACTTTTCAAATCATAACCTAGAGTGTGGTTGTATTTAAGTTATACTAGTTCTGGGAACGTGCGTTGCATGTCTATATCCTGTTGTTGTTTAAATTTTCTATAGTGGGTGAAAAAGTTATGGTGCTTTTCAATCAGAAACAATTCAAACACCCTTACTATCATTTAGAGTTGATATACCCCTCGTTATGAACGTGACACATATATACCCTTACTGTTATATAAATGACACACATATACCCTTTTTCTCTAACGGAAGTGAAAAAAACTAATTTTAGTTTAATTTTTAATTGATAATCTGTAATTTGCCTGCATAAGAAAGATGTATAGTGGAGACGGCTCTGATCTTGTCAGTTATCCTCTTACATAATTGTTGACATTCTATTTTAGTCCATTTTCTGGGAGAAAATGAAAGTCGCAGATACCGAATTGGGAACTTGCCTATCTCAAATCCCGTCAACTCCAGTAGTCTCTGTCTCATATCATCCTTCACGCCTTCTAAGTAGATAGATACTTGACTTCTCAGAGTTTGGACTTAGACCAGTAACTTGGGAGCAATGTGATAAGGCCTCTCCCACTCTTTTTACTGATTCTTCATGCCCCTTACAAAAAAATATCAAATCATCCGCAAATATTAGATGGTTCATATTCAGCTTTTTACACATAGGATGATGCTTGAAATCGAAAATTGCCCCATCTTTGTCAAGGCCCTTGACATATATTCCATGATCAGTAAAAATAACAATGGGAAGATAGGATCCCCTTGCCTTGGTCCCCTCTTCCCTTCAGAAAAACCATGACAGTCTTCACTGACTTTGATAGAGAATTTTGTTGTTGTTACACAAAGTCATTACAAGTTGGTAAAACTTAGGTGGGAAACCATATCCTTGTGTTTCATTTACTAACTCAGGTAGCACTTTCCCCAATCTTGCACTTAGAAGCTTAGATTTACCCTTATAAATCACATTACAACAAGAGATTGGTTGAAATTGACTTGCATTTTGTGGCTTCGCAATCTTAGGAATTAATGTAATCACAGTAGCATTAAGTTGCCCTAACATTCTCCCATTCTTCATGAATTCCAAAATGGCATATGTGACTTCTTCCCCTACAATGTCCTAAGCATCTCTGAAAAACCACTTGTGTACCCATCAGGTCCAGGGCTCTTAGTTGTCTTGATACTGAAGATAGCATCTTCTACCTCTTTCATCGTATATTCAAGTAATAGTTTCATCTGCTGGTCCACTAATAATGTCTTCCCATTCTTCAAAAACATACTAGAAGCTTTTTGTCTTGGTATTGTGCCCACCTCACCCAGTAGCTTCTTGTAATAGTTCACAAAAATTTCTACAATCTAACTAGGTTCAGTTTGAACCTGCAAGTTACCATCCTGCAATTGTGTTACTGCCTACTGGAGCCTTCGTTGCTTGATCAGAACATGAAAATATTGTGTGTTATCATCTCCCAGCTTCAACCAAGTAGACTTGCTTCTCTGGGCCATTAAGATTTCCGCCAAATAGATCATCCTTTTAAATTCTCTTCTTCTAACAGTACTACACATGTAGGGTCAATCTGAAGTTGTTCCTGCACTATTCTCTTCTTGTCTCTTAATCTGAAGTTGTTCCACCCAGCCTATCTTCACTATGTAGAACAACATTAAAATCTCCAAGAATTGTCCAGACTTTCTTCATTCAAGCCCCTATTTGAGTTAAATACCTCCACAATTCTTTCCTTTCCTCCCTCCCATTGTAAACATAGACAAATGTCATGTAAAATTCCTTTTGTAGCGGAATATAGTTAACAAAACATGTCATTACTTGTGCATTCTCACTACAAATTGTTACTTCACATATCTTCTCCCCGTATCACCCAAATCCTTCCATTATAGTGGGAAGAATGATTTGTATGATACTTCCAACCCCCCAAAGAGATTACCTGCTATAAACTCCATATTTACTTTAGTCTCCAACAGACCAATAATGTTCACTTCAAGCTGATTGCACAGGAGTTTTACCTTCTTCTGCTTAGAGAGGCCATTTAAACCTCTTATATTCCAACATAATACACTAACCATTCCCCCCAGGGATTGGTTTTTCAGCCACACCATTTCTGAATGGTTCTGCAGCCATCTCTTGCTCTTCTGCTAGTCTTTTCCTTGCCTTGATTCTCTTTATGTCTACCCTTGTCCCAGTAGTAATTTTTGGTATATGATTCAGCTTCCTACACTCTGCCTGTACATGTCCATACTTATGTCAATGTTTACATAAGGAAGGTTTCCAATCATAGGACACCTTATGTGTAAGAACTATTCCCTTTTCATTTCGAAACATCACTTCTTCTGGCAGTTCATTACCCACATTCACCTCTATTAGCAATCTCGCAAAGCTCAGCCCTAATTTCTTTTCAGTGTGCTT